CAAGGGTATGTTCCCTTCCATGCCATTATCCTCAACGCTAACTCGAGACAGGTTGGCAGGTCGGCTCGGATCCTGAAATCCAAGTCGCGTCGGTGACGACGAACCACCTCACGGCCGGCCTCCTCAAGTACTTTGGCGTCTCTGGGCGCTACCAGCAGGCCGCGAACCTCTTCGAGAAGCTCGTCGTGCGCGAGCCCGAGGTCTCCTCCCTCCTCGCGCGCGCGTACCTCGGGATGCGTACGTGCTTCGATCCCTTACGCAAACAAAAGCTCATATCCCCTCGCAGACGAGGAAGTGAAGGCGCTGCAGATCATGTCGACAGCTCTGCGCACTGCACCTGGGCCGTCGTCCTACACACTTCTGCACGCCCAATGCGATTTCCTGCGAGAGAAGGGCCGCTCGGACTGGGCGCTGAAACTCGCGAGGCAGGCAGTCAATGCCGCGCCCAGTGAGTTCGTTACCTGGGAGAAACTTACGGAGGTGTACGTTGAACTGGGCATGTTCGAGTCGGTATGTCTCTCTTTCTCTTTCTTGGACATGCGACACCAGGCTGATGTGCGCAGGCGCTGCTCACGCTCAACTCGTGCCCCATGTTCACGTTCAACGGCCGCGACGCGCACCGACAGCTTACGCCCTCTCGGGTTCACCTCCCGTTTCATCGCGCGATAGGCGAGATCTTACCGGATCGAGTGAAGACCGAGGATGACGAGGTACGTTGTTCCTCTCAATATCCTTTTATAACGCACAACGACTAATAACGTCTTCCAGGCCGATCCTGCTCTCCAGCGTCTTCCTGCTCCTGGGCTGCGTGGCACATGGGCCCGTGCATATGCACTCCTCACGCGCCTCGTCGCACAGATCGGTTGGGACGAGTTGCTCAAGACTCGGAGCGCAGTATTCGTCATGGAGGAGGAATACCGCATGCAGAAAGCTCAGGGCGACTTTACCGGCCACACACGCACGGAGTCAGAGGTGTCGGTGTCGGCGGAAGGGACGACGCTCGCCGAGGCCGAGGAGGACAATGCGTCGACGCGGGGGATGGTCAGCCCAGGGGGGAGCGCGGTCTCTGCTACGAGCCCTGTCAGCGCGATCGGGCCCGAGGTGAATGGAAATGGGAACGCCAACGCGAGCGAGAGCGCGATTCCGACGATCCGCATCTCGACTGAGGAGGATCTCGACAAGGAGGACGAGGCGGCGACTGCGAAGGCGGTGGATACACTCGAGCGCCCGGTGCAGGCTGCGGCAGGCGACGACGAGACGGATGGCAATGTCACCGGGATGGATAAGAAAGGGAAGGAGCCAGCTTCACCCGCAGCGCAGGAACCGTTCTCATTCAGCAACAAGCGGTTGTGCGAGCGATGGTTAGACAACCTGTTTATGGTGCTCTACGAGGTGAGATTTTTTTCTTCTTTTTTTTGACTCTGGCCGGCACCTGATCGATATTTACTTAGGACTTGAGAGTGTGGACGATTTTCCGCGCAGAGGTGGCGCATTTCAAGACCCAGCATGTCGCCTACCGCAAGACGGGGCTCGAGTGGGAGATCTTGGGTGACTTGGGGATGCGGCTGCATCACAAGGAGGAGGCGAAGGAGGCGTACCAGCGCTGTCTCGACACGCCGCGTTACTCTATCAAGCCCTGGTCTAAACTCATGGAGATGTACGCCGACGAGGGCGACATCCAGCGGTCGATACAGACGGCTATCCGCGTCGCGGCATACCAGTATGCGGAGTACACGGAGATGACGGTATGTTTTTATTAAGGTGGACGACCACGCAGGACCCTTAACAGTACACAGTACCCGACACAAATCGCGCAGTGTTTCTTCAAGCTGGGGCAGGTGCACGGGCATGCCAAGATCTCTTATACTTTGCTCAGCATGGGCCTTCCCGAACCGATCCTCAAAATTATGGACAGCTATCTGCAGTATGGAAAAACCTTCAAGGTGGAGGGTTACGATTTCTAGCTCCTAAAAACGACGGCAGTTTTGACTGCATATCTCAATCTCTGTCTAATACGCGTGCTACTATTTTATTTTTCTTTGTTCTACGTACTTTCGCGTCGGGTCTGGATGTTGGGCCTTCTGCGGTGCATGCCGACAGCAGCGCCGCTGCATATTCTACTTGGTCGTCATATGCTATTTTTTCTCCGCGTAAAAGGTCAAAGGCCCCAAGAAGATTACAGGTGCGTATGTGTAATATAGTGTACAGGTATCGAGATAGATCTATTGCGGAGGTCGCCAGAACTCGCTCGGCGCAAAGCCGGTCTTGAGCGCTGTGACGGTATTCCGCGCGGTCGTGCGCAGAGGACCCGCGCCCTCGCCGTCGGAGCCGCCCTCGTCAAACCCAGAGTTGAGCTTCCGCGCGAGCTCCCGCACCCCTTCGTCCTCGCGCACCCACTCGCCTTCGCGCGCCTCGTCCGACCACCACGCGACCGCGCGCGCGCGCAGATCAGGGACACGCATTACCGCGCCGCGCATGAGGCGCAGGAGCTGCAGTCGCAGGGCCGTCTGCTCTGCGGTGCGCATTGCGCCCATTGTCGGGTTGACGAGCGCGGCGGCGGAGGCGGAGGCCGGGAGCATGTGCACCAGCGCTGGTAGTATCAAGAAGAGGAGGCGCCGGAGAAGGAGGAGGGTGTCATGCCACTGGGAGGCGAGTTAGATGGGTACACGTATATAATCATACGAGTAGTGTGGCGTACCATGAAAACGGGTTTATCGTCTTTGGGAATTTCTATGGTCACAGTCGATATATAGTATGCTTCGACGCAGAAGGCTCCCGCGACGGCAGCAACGGCCAGTGTGCGATAACGCTCATGTCCGGAGTTGTTAATCGTCACTATCTGGAGAAACTGTCAATGCGATGCCGTTAAGGGAATGAAGAAACCGACTCCAATGACAGCAGTTGCCCAGATATATGACAGCAAGGCTCCTGGCAGCGCAAACATGGCGAATTCTTGAAAGGACAAGCAATAATCGCAAGTCGAAACTACCGAGTGGCCGAATCTAACCAAAATGGCGATTGAGGATATTGAAAGACACATTGTGCTTGAATTGGACGCACCGAACATAGTACGTTTTCACGTCAAACGATCCAAGACGCCTCAGTAGCGAATCCAGTGGCGGTGGAAGGTCTCCAGTGTCTGACTGCTGTATCAAAATGCTCCGGACAGCATCGATAGGCGTGTTTAATGGCATCTTGAGACGCGTGAAGATGTTGACGGGAGGCAAAACGATGATTTGGTACAGAAAATAGAGCGAGTGCAGCAGGAGAAAAATATTGAGCAGAGACCGGGTGGAAGTCAAAGGCCGTGCTGGAGCTTTGTGTATGCCAAAGTAGAGCCATGGTATAATTAAACCAGCAGCAGTGGTGAGGAAAAGGACGAGGGAGACCCCTGCAGCCATCGCGTCCAGGAAGAAACACGTCACAGCGAACGCGACCAAAAATGAGTCACGTGCAAGGTCTCCGGCATTTGATGGAATCACCTCGATTTGGAAGAGCCGGTCACTCTCCACAACTCGCAAAAGACAAAAGCACAATCATTACGCTGTGCTGAATCGAAAAGCCTGGTCGGGAATGAGCCAGTGTTCGCTCTCAGGATTAACATTGGAAAAACAAAGGAACGCCCACCCGGCTACGTCCGTTCACTTGACATGAAACCAACATGGAACCGACTCGAACGGCGTTCATCAAGGACATTCAGACCCAAGAGTGGTAAAGAACGTGGCTTTCCAGGGGCAACACAGCGCCTATGTCTGTCAACACGCCTCAAACGTGTGGTCAGGCTCCGGACTCATTCTCGACCTGCTGGACCTGAAGTCGACGGCTATTTGACGCGAGAGCTTCAGGTATTGGTGGAACTATCCACTGAGATTGTCGCTCTCTCGACTCACTGTGGCCATTCTAGCGTGAAAGGCCGATGCAGATGGACTCCTTGGTAAGTGAGAAGCGGCGGTTTAAGGTGATGCAGGTACTGGACGTCGGAAAGATGTCCTTCGAGCGTTCGAGATGGCTACCAATCACATTGTTGAACGATCTCGTGGTCTCTGCCGAACATTTCTACTGCTCATTTAATCCGCCGCGGCATCTTATCTTGAAGAAGACGCCTACTTCCCCTTTAGCTCTCTAGGCGTGAAGGTATAAAAGAGTAGCGACATGTAGGATTGACCCTGCATCTCGACGATGTTCAAATCTACCGCTGTGAGCAGCTACCTTCTCGCACCGTCCTCCTCAATGCTTACTCTGCGATCTAGGTCACAGGTCTTGTAGCATTGTCGGTCATCACGATGGGCTGGAGTCAGACGTTTACGCCCGTGTGCTCCGCTGGACCTCAGGGTGCAAACGGCTCTTCTGGTGCAGGAAACTGCACCGCATTCACGACTCAATTCTGCGATTCCATCTCACAACCCGTCGTTGCCGATGTGCGTCCCAAACATCCCTCACTTTCCCGCAAAGTTGACCAGATTCGCAGCAACTCGCCGCCCACAACACCATCACCCGCTGCTTCCTCCTCGCTAATGGAGACGGGCGCAAATGTTCGTTCAAGGGCTCTCTCCTCTCTGAGACGCTAATAAACGTATCTGTATAGGCGAATTCGTTATTGCCAACAACAAAACAGCGGATACCGGTACCATACCCAACGACGCCAACTGCAAGTCGGCTTTCAATGCTGTGACTAGCAACTGCGATTTTGTACGATTCCCCCCTCCTTCCCAGTTACTGCGAGCGAGACTCACGGATCTACAGGGCGGTAGCTGTCCAATCACGATAGACACGATGTCGGTGGAGCTCAACTTTCACGTTGGAGGATGCTGAGGTCCACTGGATCTCTCTTGAGATGATAATAGACTACGCAGCAAATGTAAAATGTAGGCTTGCTTTTCCTTCGATATTTCAATGGCTAGGAGAATAGAGCAACTGTAAACTGTATGGTCAGGATGAATAAGACAGCAGTCTCCGATAGTACTGAATCAAAACAAAGTTACCAGGTGGGATCAAAAAGCTGAGTCCGGCCAGGATCGAACTGGCGACCTTTTGTGTACAATACCAATTGTAAGACAAATGTGAGAACCACTACACCACGGGCCCATTGCGCGATTGTCATCACAAAAATAGTACTCCTCTTGGAACGGACTTAATGACTTTAAAGGTTCGCCACGGCCGAACCGGCCCGTACGCGACCAGCTAGTGTTGCCGCGGTTGGGTTCCGAACCAATCTCGAACCTCAAGTTCGGAGACGCCAACAAACCTAGATTTTAGTTCACTCAAGTGCACAAATCTAACTTGTGCATACCAGTGTTCTCGAACTCCCTTCTCGCAAGGTTGGTTATTCCCAACAATAAGATGTTGTACTTAACTCATGTGGCGTGATATGCACGGTCTAAACTCAAGGGCGACGACGCTCCGCGCAATGAACGAAGTTTCAATTCCATTTTGCATTTCACGGCGGCGGCGAATGTTTTTTTCTCTCTTAATGACTGAGACACAAATTGGGCCCTATCAACCACAAGTTACCGCTGAAAAAAGTGACACGAATTGCACAAGATGCCGAGCCGAACCGTAGCCAGTCAGCCAGTGCCATAAACCGGAGTCGGACGAGGCCGGAGACAGCTTCTAGGATTTTTCGACTAGCGATGTGATGTGATGCAATGATGTGGTCCAGTCGACGTCGAGCAAGCTCTGTTCTGTCCTATACAGTCGAAACAACGCGGTTGCCTCACCTGCTCAATGTATAACCATCTCGTATTTTCAACCATATTCAACAGCGCTCTGAGAGACTCTGTCGGATCAGTATCTTCAAACCTTGTTGAGATTCATCTCTTTCCTTCGTCTTCGATTCGCTCATGCCTGCAGAAGCATCACGCAGCGTACGGCACTACTTTTTCGTTTCACAAACCGACGACAGATGATGTCCAAGTCGAGGACTGTCGATCCTTGAGCGAGCGTGTCGATGACGGACCGAGAAGTTGCACCACTCACGAAGAATTCAGTAGGCGAACTCGGGATGCGCCCCTCCAAAAAATTGAGAGTCAAACCTGTTCAGTGTTCGCAAAAATCTTCAAATCTTCAAACCTTTAACCGCACCACAGGTTCATCTCAAAATTCAGGTTCGTTGGCGTCTCCGACCTTGAGTTCGAGTCAGGCTCAGGATTAGTCCGGAACTCAACCGCGGCAACACTAGCTGGTCGCTGTTTGAGGCAATTTTGAGTACGTACCAGGTGAAGCGCACCATCCTGTGAACCATCCCGTTTCTATGATCCTGATGCTGCAATGAGTCTGTGGTGTAGTGGTTCTCACATTTGTCTTACAATCTTCTGCGTACACAAAAGATTAGGTACCCGGTTTGGCAGCGTCATCGGTTGGTGCGCGGCGAGATCATGTCCATGCTGAGGCTTTGACTGTTGTGCTGGATGGCCCAGTCATCGACGGAGAGGCGGCCCTCGGTGAAGTTGCAGAGGATGCGGACGGAAAAAAAAGGACGCGGCGATTCCGTGCAGAAGCCGACGACTTTTGACTTGCTGCATTTGAAAGATCTCAGAGGATTATCGCAGGCAACGCAGCGAGTTAAGACCACAGGTTCGAACGCAGTAGTTGAACTGGATAACGATGCAGGTGAAGCTGAAATCAGGTCGGATTTGGTTTCTGCAGCCAGAAATCGCGGGGGAACGCTCGTCGCTTAGCGATTCCAGGTCTCCAGCCATGCCCAAGTGGATCGCGTGACAAGAGTAGGATTAGAACCGAGCAGACAGAGTGGGGGAGCGGAAGCGAGCGAACCAATCGCTGCGAAATTAGAGGCTTGAAGTTGAAGTTGATCATGAATGACCAGCAAAGGACCAGGATCAGGTTGGATCGCCCAAAGTGGAAGTGTTACGTTATCCTGAACAATGCCAAACAAATGCCAACATTCACTTACGCACAACTCCCATGACCGACGACCCTGCTGGTCCCCGACGCTCGAGTCGGAAGCCCAAACCCACCCTGCGTGAAGCAAATGCCGTTGCAGAAAATGTGCCGTCAAAGCGCAAAGCCAAAGAGGAGGTGGATCCTGCAGAACAGCTCCGTTTTATGTTGCAAAATCCAAAAAGTCGTCTCACAACGATGAACATATCTGTGCGTCGCTGGCTAGACACCCTGAAGGAACTCAATGTTGGCGGCATTATCAGGACCTCATTAATGCCAACTCTTGGAATATGCTCTCACCAGATTCGCAATCCCGGCTCGCTGCTTTGTTACCGCCCACTGCGTTCCCATTTTTCCAACCCACTATCGGATCCGACCATCCCGCAGCAGCGGATTCCATGAACGTAGACTCCAGCGGTCCGGGTGCCGTAGATCCATCGCTTTTCACCGACGCCCATTTTCTTGCCGCCGCACACACTTTCCAGGATCACCTGTATTCCAATTGGCTCTCTGATGTGCATGCTGAAAAGGTGGAAAAGTATGAGCAGGGAATAAAGGAGGGTAGTCTTGCAGCTCCGTGGAAAGATGAGGTTTGGGAACGTGATAACCAAAAAGAGGAAACGCCAGCGACAAGTACCTCAAATTCGCATTCGTCACCGACGCGCGCAGGGTATGTACGGTTTTTTGATCGCACCCCTTGTCTTTCCTTCGTTGTCTTTGTTTTTTGATTCGGCGCTTCAGCGAGGCTGCAGAACTCAAACTTGTCGACCTGGCGAAGAGTTCCGTTCTCCGCCAAGGGGATGTGCTTGCGTACAAGCGTAATTTCACAAACCTGGGCATTATCGTCGAGAAGGATGTCATAGTGAGGGTGCTCTAGTTTTTGAGTCGCCCTACTAATGTGCCACCTCATCCAAGATCCAGAACATTGATCCCCGCACACACAGCTTGACTGTGCTGTTAGAGCCGGGTACAACGCGTGATCTCCCCGCTCAACTCTTGATGCCGGGATTCTGCGATCCCTCCGAGCACACACGCAGCATGACGATAACGAGTCCCACGCAACTCGAAAGTGGACTCCTCGACGTGGACGGCCGGGTTGACAGAACGAAGAGACCCAACGGAAATGCGTGGAAAGCGTTGACGCTGTGGCGCTGGACGGGTGATTCCCTGGAATACACATTGGCGGACAATGGGCGACGGGGTGGTAGAGAAGATCACGGCACGCTATTTTACTTGAGGGCGTGTTATTACCAAGATAGGTGAAGTTGCAGTCGATACAGTCGTGACTCAATCTGCCAGTGTACTTGCTGTTCAATAATACTGTGCGTTTGCTCTCTGGTCTCATTATCTGCTGTTCATCTAACTCGACTCGGGTTGATGAATGAACGTCTCAGAGCTCGTCGAAAATGGACCTTCATTGTGCCGAAACAAAGCGGCGCCTGGTGAGGCTGTGGCCCCCGTTGTTCACAGCCTTTCCGGCAGTCAAAGCCGCTCTCGCCCCATGTCTTCTACATCTCTCTCTTCGGGACACATTTATTTATGCACTCAACAGGGAAATGTCCGTCCTCAATCTGTCTACTGTTCCAGAACGCGGCCCTGATTTCGTTTCACCAAGAAACATCAGAATGAGGACGAAAGGTGGAGATCGATAATGTCGCGGTCAGTGTTCGCTGTTTGCGGTCTCTACACGGGCTTTGGTTGCATATGGGCCGATTTGATCTCGTTCGACGTTCAACAATGGTTGACGATGAGGTCGCTGTATAGCGGGAACGCTCTCGCAACTGAGTTTGAATGAAAATTCACAACAGGCAACCATCGTGGATTTGAACTCTCCTGGCGTTTCAAGTCCTTGCGCACCGCAATGTTCCATAATCGACAGCCCGTATTATTTTTGAGGCCAACCGTCCCCGTCGCCAGGCTAATAACAGTTATCTCTGACAACATAAATTGCAGGACATGTTTCCACGATGGCAATAGCACCACATTTCACACCCCAGCATCTCACGGAAATGCAAACAGCAATCTCTACATCGAAACAGACGAGCAATACAAGTAAAGTTCTTAAATATGCCACCATGGCGGCCGAAATTCTTCGAAACCACGCTCAAGCCTCGCATATCCCCTATGTTCGAGATGCCGCCGAGTCAAGTTTGCTTTTACTGAATGAAATAAATGTTCGTGTTTCTTTGGTGTTGTTGGATTGAACTGAGTCCTAAAAATTTAGGGAATGAAGATGAATCAAGGAATGCTCTCCTGCATAGTGGAACTCATACAGCAGCTTCTCTGTGCCGTCGTCCGTTCATGCCTGGAGGAACAAGGTGTTCTCCCGGTCAAGGTATTGCACTATGTCGCGCATTTCGTAGAGTGTGTTTCAATATTTGCGACGCAGAAGTCCGAGTACTCATTTAATTCTCCAGAACCCTCCGGAGGATCAGGACTTCTGTACAACTGCAATCGGAAATGGGGAAGATCAAACGCTTCATTCGGCAACATGAGATCGGTGTCCAGATTCATGCATACGAGGCCAAACTGCGAGCCATTCTGGACGATTTCAGGGTCCGTTGTTGCAATTACCGTTTTATAACTGATCCTAACCAACTTAGATACAAAACGGCGTCAGACTGGCCGCTGATCTGGCCGAACTTAAATTGGATGCACAGCAGCGGCATCAAGAACTTCTGGTTCTTCTTGCCGCTCAAGATGGAAAATCATCCGAATACTCTGGCTCGGTAGGCACTGTGTTGTCTGCAGCTATCAGACCATAACTAATCCGTCCGCCAGTTCCGAGGCAGCAACAGGTTATCAATTTCATGACCACTAATTCAATGTCTCACCGTTGTTTTAGCTCCAGCATCTTCTCGGTATTCCCGCCATGTCCCAAAATTTTCCATGGAAGAGATTCGGAACTAATGCAGATTGCAACAACTCTGAAAACCGGACCAGCGCACCTGGCGATCTTGGGCCCTGGAGGCATGGGAAAAACAACCCTTGCAATTGCCGCGCTGCATCATCCGGAAATTATTTCGGAATACAACCAGCGACATTTCATCCCATGCGGATCGGCATTCGACAATAGCCAACTTGTCAATATCATCGGCGCTCATCTTCACCTCGAGCCTTCGAAGCATCTTTTGAAGGGTATTATCAATCATTTTGTCGACTGCGGAAGAACGCTGTTGGTACTGGAT